TGTGAGGAATTAATTGGATAGAAGAAATATCTGTCCTAAACTTCATGCTTACTGAAGTCAGTCAATCGTCGCAAAATTTATAATCTCACTCATATCTGAACCTTCATTATCCAATGTCAAAGTTTAAACTTTTACCACAAAACTATTCAGGCTACAATCATATGATTATGAGCAATAAATATTGCTTAAAACGTGATTAATAGGTAAATCAAATCAGATTATTTTACCATGGAACCACACATTAACACATTGTATTCTAACTCTCTTATTTGATTAGATCTTTTACTTTAGTTGGTATTTGTTGCTAATTGATAGTCGAAACATACTGTTAATTTGGTAATTAAATTAAAGCAGCATTTTTCAAAAGTGGCACCATCGTAATTCAAAACCCCAAAAGCCAATAAGTACCAAAGTTTTCGTGTGTTCAAGAAAAGCCGAATAGCCTTTTGATTAAATTTTTATAAGAAACAACAATAAAAAGAAACACAAGTTTAAGATTTCGCAATGTTCAGTTAACAATGCAGTTCGTATTACTTTCGGCGTTAACTTGTTTGGTACATATTCACAAAACAGCTACATTCTTGTCAGTAGTGTCGTTGATAGCCCTGACAGAAATACATTTGCTTCATTTTTACTGGTCAGGAGCCTGATCCTTTTGTAAATCATCATAGTATGAAGTAATAGCTGGAAAAAATCATTGTTTTATAGAAATAATAATTAACATGAGCTTTTACAAAAGAGGTGACTGACTAATATATGGAGAATTAATATCGTAAAATTACTGTACTTCTCACTAATTAGCACCAACCTATTAGTTAAATAGTTAAACCGATCGATATCCATAGGTCATCACGGAGGAGATTAGTATTATATGGGATAATATTTGTTTTTTAGAGGGGGACATTTCAGTCAAAGGTGTACAAAATTAGGGAGAACTACTTTTCCGATGAGTGTTTCTTTTACCTCCAACTTGATCTGAAAATAAGGATATTTCTCAAACAATGAAACTTTATGAATAAAAATTAACCTGTTCTTTCACCGAATGTTTAGTAAAAATAATAAGAAATAGTTTATGGACATTTTTTTCCAAAAGACATTCTACTACAGGTACATAAAATTCTACCTAAACATCCATGTCTAGTATATGAAAGCGATGTAATATCGAATATGCCTTGGCATTTTGAAAGTGCTCATTATAATTCAGCTCTTACGGTAGAGGCGTTACAAGTTGAGACACAAAGTTTGATATAGGATAACAACTATTTCAAAATGATTATGGTTCTTCTGAAGATGCACTATTATTTGAAGCTACGACTTCTTACTCTAGGTAAATAGTTGTTTAAAAGACTGGAAAATAGCCAACTGGAGTAACTACGGCTAAGCACAAGTTTTCTAATCCAAATGAATCCACATGGAAAACATAATTTGAGAAAATGATACCAATTTGTTTTCATTCCTAGACTCTTTATCAGCACAAATGTGTGGTTTGTTAGCTATTGAAGTCATGCTATTAAACACAGCTATTTGTCAGAAAATAATATCTAAAACTTCAAGAATCCTGTCGATGACAGAATTTCGTAGAAGCCTTCTCACAAAAAGTCTTCCAAATACACACACACACTCACCCGACAAACATTCCTAGACATACACACACATACTGATTAATCGCATCAGAGACAGTCATAAACTACAGTATAATAAAATAATAGTAATAATAGTTCCTTATTTTATTCTTTTTAATTGTTTAGCTCAAAAATATACACCGTAATTAAATGCTAAGAAAAATAAGCAAGAAAAAGCATAACTTGAATTTTGTACAAACTTTCAATGTTTTTCAATAACAAATTCCCTACATATACATATAACAACGACAATTTGGTAAGAATGAAAACCCGTATAAGTTAGGTTAAACTAGTTTCAAAGGCTCGCCTACTACCGGTTAACTGAATAATTAGTTGGCATCAGAGAAAAAGCTGAATAAAACTATGATAAAAAAAGGGTTAGCTTCAGCCACCTATTCACTCATGAATCTACCTGTATATTTGATTTATCTATGGAGCTGCCTGTTTGACTATAAAGATTCCAATAATTTAACATCCGTACACTTATAAAAAGCTTGTCATTGTGCAATTTCAGCCAACAATAATTTCAAATCGCTTCTCGTCAAGTATAAATACACTTACACTTAAAGAAAATGAAAACTAAATCAGTAGAACTGGAAGCAAGGAATCGCGATCGTGGTGGGATCTAACGAAGCACCCTTTGAGTAAATGGCTGTATATTATATTAGTTAAACTACAATAATCAAACTGTGTATCAGAAGTGATTATAAGTAAAGTCATAGAATATTTTGTTAAATAGTCGTGGTAACTGTAGAAGGACATTGAGATTTACAACTTAAACACACATTTTCAACACCTATTCACAAATTCAGTTGGTTATTTGAACTTTGTTATTTAATTGTGTCTTGCATTCAAAGTAATTTAATTCATAGGCAGGAATTTTTGAAATGTACTAGGAAGAATGCAGCCAGGTTATATATTTCAGTCGAAGGAATGTTGAGTTAGCGATTTGGAAATTCTTGATTCGAATCTTACTGAAATCTAAATTTCTACCTTACTTCCAATCGCTACCCATTAATAAAAGCAGAACAGCTTATGGGGCTTATAGTTGTGACCTTGACTCTGAAATATATTGATCACTGTCATTAGCTTGTGACTACTTATACCAATCAGTTACATGTTACATTTGATTTTTGACAATAAGTGTAAAATGTATACAGTGACAGTTGAATAGTTTCGAACAGAAACACAACTAGAAACACCTGAAAGTAACAGTCTAAATCATACATTTTGAAATTTATTTCCGAGTTAATTATCCAAAAAATATGCACTTGTATGTATTTAGCTAGGAAGATAATCAAACCAGTGGTCAAATAGCACATAATTTATAAAATGTATGAGACAATGCTTCTGTATACTCTTAGGTATAACGCATTTTCATATTTCAGTCAACACTGTGTGATTTACCAAAATAAAATCTTATTCATAATGGAGTTATACCCTGCCACAGAGCCCAAGTTTTATGCTTATCTCAGTTAACACTTTGAGGTAGCATAACTTCCAAAATCTTGGATAGTGCTCTTTCATTCAGCTAGGCATTACGAACTAAGTCAGTCACAAATCAGGTTCGTGTGGAACTTTAAATATTACTCCTAAAAGAATTGGACTTCTAGTCAAATATGAAACAAACGGTCTGGCAACCATCTAAAATTATCAAGGCATACTCAGATGGCGGATTAAGTCTTGTATGTCCTAATTTTCCGTCTAAATAACTACTAATAATCGCAATTACATTTGTAGCTTTTGGAGATTTCCCATGTAAAAACATGTCTTTAGTATCTTCAACAATGCTAGGTGACTCTGAAATTCTGAAAATATCTGGTAAAAATCTCAACACAATTTAAAATCAATTTGTAATTCAATCAGCTCTACACACTGTTCGTTAAACTCCCTATTCTTCAAGCCTTTACCAGTAAAAAAAACAGGTTGTAATTACACTTGTAGCTCTAAATTGCACCAACCAAATTTTTCCATTTCTTGAACAATAATTTTAATCAAAAAAGAGACAAGCAAAATTTATGGTTAAAAAAGTAATTATATAGTCTGTAACCAGTGTACACCTAAGGAAAAATTCAAATTTAGAGATTAAACTACAATAAATTCCAGAAAGATGTAATTTATTCAATAAAAGGATGTAGAATGCCATTATTCCAGTACCACGGTTATCAAGGTTGGCAAAGTAGACTACACTCAATTCTGTAGATATATGAAAAAGTGCAGCACTTCGCTAGCACTAAGTGATAACTAGGGTGCAGAATTTTTAGACCTCGTTGAGGAAACGTGCTTTACAGATTTTCAACCCAAAAGAGGCTGTATTAGATAATAAACGTCTACAAAACACACTACTACTAGGGTAGTGATAAGATTTTAGTGAGACGGGTTGATATATTACGCTGTTACCCGTTTAGAAAAATAATTACACGTTGAAAACAGATACAAACGGAAATATGTTGCGCCTCTAAGGATTTGGAAAGTGAATTTTGACATTTCTTTAAGCACTGACATTTTTGATCAGTTTATACATTCATTTTAAATGGAAAAAAAGCTCAGCAAAGATATCTTTCTGGCTACTTCATCGTCTAAAGCTGTACAATCACAATATTATGCATAAGTTTACATAGTTAGTCACTATTTAATTCATGTTGATATAAACAAAAATTGCAACTATGTAAACAAATGTATAAAAGTGAAACCGGAGGAAAGATACCTTTAATTAGCCTCTTCTTTATACAATTGAGTTGCAACTTAAGAATCTTATTTGTCGTTAAAATGTTACAACAGTAACCAGAACAAACTTTCCACTTTTACTTAATGTTAAACAAACATTCTGAATTCACGTATATTTTAATGATAAATGACCAGCTGAAACGATAAATAGCTACGTATTTTCTATAGTGAAAAATACATACATAAAAGTAGCAGGCGACAGGTATGCTGGCAGTCGACACTGAGTGCTCGTATTAACTCTGTCACTAGACCATTTGTGTTGAATAACTCTGGCTAAATGGCACGCTTTTACCTGATATTCGGCTGTCCCTGCACCACCAATAATGTAGGTTGTACAACAGAATTTATGTACCACCTTTATGATGCTCCAGATGTTGTTCATTACTTATCTTCCACAATTTTTAGGTCACTTTTCAAATACATGTGACTGTTATAAAGGTAAATGTACACGACGCACATTCTTTGAGGTCTCGTTTACTTCCGTTCTTAGTGGCAATGTGTCATTAAGGCAACACCATGAGCAAATATTGCAAATATTGCTCAGCATCAAAGAAGACCAGACTAAAACACAAAAGCTACCATTTTTAGTGTGTACTTTAAAGCATTTGTTTTATGAGAGCAGAAAAACGAGAAGAAAGAGTAATAACATACCTTCTGCATTGTGCTCTGATGGATAAAGCCGCTTTTGTTGAATGTCGAACATTTTTTACAGTTAAACTCTGAGGAAAATCATAGATCTGAAAACTATCTTAGACGCTGTTTTAAAATCTGCTGTATTTGGAAAGTTCACATTTGTAATGCATAAAAACAAATATTCAATTCGTGAAAACACAGACAGAAACAAAAGATTCTTCATAAATAATGTCTTTTTGTTGGATCTTTTAAAGACTTTAACCGTCGTCGTAAGTTTGCTCCAGATAATATCCAATATCCTGATTACGAGCTAGTATAAGCCAGTGATTTCTTTGAGCTCGCTTCTTGATTGTGAGGTAGAGGTTCCGGATTTTTGGTGAGCTTCTGCGTAGTAAGTCCCGCCACTCGACTGCTTTAGCTCTGGTAGACTCCAAGAGGAGTGGTGCGGGGATTGGTCGAGATGTGGTTTGTAGTATGCAGTATGTTAGGACTGTATTGCTGCCGTGAATGGAGTTTGACCTAACTCCCGTTGGTCATTCGGTGTAGTCATAAAAGCAGAATAGTAATAATAATGGGTTGTAGTGTAGACAATATGGGTTGAGATAAGTGGAATAATAAAGGTGACCTAAGGAAAAGATAGAGTGAGAGAAGGCAGAGTAGGTCGTGGGGATTTAGTTTGTACGCTTATCCATTGACAGTGTGGTTTTAAGTTTTATGAGGATAAGCCATTGAGACACAAACCTTGCATTTCTGCATGATTGTCTAGCTTTCGCTTAAAAATCTCCAGAGATGGCGCTGTAGTCACGGCCGCTGGTAAAGCGTTCCAGAGACGGCAAACACGAAGCGAAGAGAAATGTGATCGCACTCGAGTCTTTGGTCTCTGGTGTGCTATCCTTAGCGGGTTACCTCGTGGAAGCCTATAATCACTTAATGGCAGGATGCTTTAATTTGGGTGGGCCTGGTCATTTAAGATCTGGTAGATGGTGATGAGGTCTCCCCTGTGCCTACGGTAACTAAGTGTGAAAAGACCTAATTTCTTTAGTCTTTCCTCATATGATTTGTTGCGGAGGCCGATCACCCATTTTGTCGCTCGTCTCTGGACACTATCTAGAATGTTAGCATCCCTTTTGAGTAGCGGAGGTGCAATGATATTATGCACCTCAAGGTGTGGCCTCACATATGCCTTATATAACATTAAGAACAGTTCGAGAGTGAGAACTCCCAGCTGCCTGTGCATAAAGTGTAAAGTTGCGTAGACTTTGGCGATGTCCCTCGCGTAATTTCCACTGGTGTCTAGCTTTTCTGTTAGAATAAGACCTAGATCTCGCTCTGATGGAACACAACTCAAGTTCTGGCCACCAAGGGTGTAATTTACACTCTGTGACCTGCCGGAATGAAGTTGCACTACTTTGCACTTCTTTAGGTTGAAAGGCATTCCGTTAGCCAGAGCCCAGTTTCCCAGAGTTTGCAGGTCAGCCTGCAATCTGTCTGAGTCTTCCGATGAGTTTATTGCTCTCCAAATCTTTACGTCGTCAGCGTAAAGAAGCACAGAGCAGTTTAGTTGGGAGGGCAGGTAGTTGATAAAAATCAAAAACATCAACGGCCCTAGGATAGAACCCTGAGGAACCCCTGATGCCGAGGTGTGCCAGGATGATCGGATGCGGTTGACTTTGGTGCAAAATTCTCTCTCGCCTAAGTAATCTTTCAGCCATGCGAGAAGTGCTCCAGAAACACCTGCCTTGCTCATTTTGTGAAGGAGCAAACCAAGGTGAACTGTGTCGAATGCTTTCGCAAAGTCGAGAAAGATCACGTGAGAAGTTCCAATATTTTCGATATCACTGGAAGTAGAGCAGCTGGTCTGTAACTGGTCGTGTTCTACCGGTCACCATCCTTGAAGATAGGGGATAGGATTGCTCGTTTCCATTTACATGGAAGTTTCCCTACATCGAGGGAGTATTGAAACAGATCACTCAGGGGTTGACAGAGACTTTCTGAACACTGCTTCAGCACAGATGGTCGGATGTCATCACAACCTGAAGACTTTCCCGAAGCTAACCTTCCCAATTTTGCAAGTACCATAGCCGGGGTAATTTGAAATGTACCCAGGAGGTTTTCGCGCGTTGGTTTTGCGATGTAATCGTGATGTTCTGTGGGGGTAATATCCTCGTTACTGTTTAGTTGCGTGTGAAAGGCTAGGCTCAATGTGTCTGCCATTTCAAGACTAGTAAGCGATTTCCCATCAGAACCCACTAGATTGCACGCTCCCTGGTTGGTCGGTTTTCTTTCGGACATGAACGTGTATAGGCTTTTGTGGTTCACGAGAAGCTTTTTGGCGAGGTCTCCCTGAAATGTCCTTCTATCGCAACGGACTCGTATGTTACATCGATTCCTGAGTTCAAGGTACACTTCATGTTCGGGTTGACTCTTCGATCGTCGCCACGCAAACCAGGCTTTTCGCTTCGTCTGCAGAAGGCGTTGTGTCCCCCTTTTTAGCCATGAACGTTGCTTCCTAGCTTTTGGTGTGACTAAAGGAGCAATGTCTGAAACATCCTGGTGAATGATCTCCTTTACCACTCTCCAGTGTTCTTCTACTGTTAGCTCTGTCCATTTTTTAGGCCAATTTGCTTCAGACAGAAGTCTTCGCATTTTGGTGTAGTTGGCTTTGTGATAACACAGATAGGGCTGTGTATTGTCCCACTGTAAGCGCTCGTGGAGGACCATGTCGAATAATATGACCGCATGGTCACTACTACCTATGGGAGTCGTGATCTGAACGTTTTCCACTAGTAGCTGGTCACTAGTGAGCACGTTATCCAGTCTAGGAGACTTCCCGTCAGAGCCCCATCTAGTATCCATCCTGACATTTTCAGTGAATCCAGCCTTCCTGGTGTGCAGCAGATTTCGATCAAATCTATCATGGGCGTTTCCCGACACCAAGTTAAGAGATGGGGCATTGAAGTCACCACTATGACAATTTGATCATAACCCATGTCTTGAGTTGCTGAGATTGTATTTAGCAGAACCTGGTTGTGGTCTGCTCCACATGAAGGTGATCGATAAATGCTGCCCACTAAGTATTTGCAGTACCCAACGGTGAAGTGGCACCATATGGAGTCAGGGAGCTCAGTGAGGGGAGGGCCCATCGCGTGAACACATCTGAGCTGTTTGTCGACGTATATGGCGACTCCACCTCCTTCTTTTAGGTCCATATCTCGCCTGACTAGGACCGTAGCATTCATACTGACTTCGCTGTCTGCCACCGTAGGGGTGAGGCTATGAATTCTGGTGGACATATTACTTCATTTTGGGACTCACCAGCGCATTTGGTAGGATACTGCCCGATGACATGTAAATTAAACTTGTGTGTTGAGACGACTACCACTTGTACTGACTTTAAATGCTGGATGAATGCTCAACATGAATGCTGCTTATCATTGCTTCTTCCTCTATAAGCGATGAAGATAAGTTAAGGTGTACGCAAAGTATGATTGTACAGCGCGATTTCTTATCTCTAAACACCTATCGTTTCTATTCTGTTCAAACCAAAAACGAATAAGAAATCGATGTCTTACGACAAATTTTCAGCTCAACGAATCCGCCTAATAGGTTTAGTTCAGCATCCTGTGTTGCGCGGAGAATTCTCTGAGTAGGTAATTCTGCGGAATTATTTCCTTATACGACCTGTGTAAATCACGTCTCATAAACCGTTAATGCCCAGCTCTCGCTACGCTCGGGCCCACGCTGTTCCTTGAAGTTTTCTCAGAAACGCTTAGTTATAACGGACGGAAAAACCAAAACACCGATTGGCCGCTTGATATTTGTTTATTGTTACACCAACATATAAAAAGAATAAGTGAACTAAGGTCTGTGAACAAATATTACAATAATAAATCATAATATTACTTCTGACGATGTTTCACTCTTCTTTCTGAACAGCGACCGATGAGACGATGACTGTCGTATTGATGCCTCCACGAAAATTGGGGAAGTTGGGTTTGAGCAAACAACCATGAATTGATCGTTCAATCTTCAACTCCATTGACACTCCCCGGCAAAATACGGATCCAACAGTTTTTTCCTTCACGACCAATACACGTTGACTTGGATGCCATTGCGAGAACCTGGGTCACACGGACAGAGCTGAAATGGAAAACAAACAGAAAAGCCAACACACCACAAGCATACCCACAGCACAATCTCACACATCGCTGACGACCTGCGCCTCCAGACAGAGACCTCCTCTTGACATCTTGCAACACAATCGCCACTTGCTAGAATGACTCTTGCAGAATGCAAAGTGACCATAGCACCAACTCATGATACTCTACGCACATCCTCTTATCTACTCATTACCAATTACCACTGAAATCGCTTGTCACTCATTCTGCCTCAGTTCTAGTAACGGTGACGTATGCGAGCCTCAGTCGTTTACACTCTTTCTCCCCGGCGTGTCGGACTGCACCTAACAATTATCTCCGTGTGCATTTCATTCTCTACAATAGCCTCCCCGGCGTATACGACCCATCTGCTGTCCTTAACATCAATCAATTCATTCATGGATGTAGAAGAGTGGACACAACTTCAGAAGTAATCACGACGAAAATTTCAACAAAATTACGCAATAACAACAAGACACGAAAACAACAAGTAGACACAATGAATCCAAAATACACCAATTGATATGACACACCACACGTATATACAAATAGTACAAACAACCTCGCCGATCATCTCTTGGTGGAATTCCTTTGAAGAATTGCAGGGCTAACACCAGTACGCCTACAAACCTTCACAGGTTGACCATTGTAAGTTGTGGAATGTCCGGACACAAACAATATTATTCAACAATTACAATAATTGGAACTCACACAACTATTTAACACAAACATATGTGCAATCACTACATCAAATGTTGTGGATTCTGACACGACGAACTACCCTTGAAGAACTGTAGGACTTACAGCAGTACGCCTACATTCCTTCTCAGGTTGACGCTCTAGGTTGGAAAATCGTCGCAGAGTTCATTTGCTAACTTCCTTCTATCAGCTATATCCTCAAATCTGAACGGCA